TCTGTATATGTGTCTATCTGTATCTATGTCTGTGTCATTATACATGTCTGTGTCTGTGTCTGTATATGTGTCTATCTGTATCTATGCCTGTGTCATTATACATGTCTGTGTCTGTGTCTGTATATGTGTATATCTGTATCTATATCTGTGTCATTATACATGTCTGTGTCTGTATATGCGTCCATCTGTATCTATGTCTGTGTCTGTGTCTGTATATATGTCTATCTGTATCTATGTCTGTGTCTGAGTCTGTATATGTGTCTATCTGTATCTATGTCTGTGTCATTATACATGTCTGTGTCTGTATATGTGTCTATCTGTATGTATGTCTGTGTCACTATACATGTCTGTTTCTGTGTCTGTATATGTGTCTACCTGTATCTATGTCTGTGTCATTATATATGTCTGTGTCTGTATATGTGTCCATCTGTATCTATGTCTGTGTCATTATACATGTCTGTGTCTGTGTCTGTATATGTGTCTATCTGTATCTATGCCTGTGTCATTATACATGTCTGTGTCTGTATATGTGTCTATCTGTATCTATGTCTGTGTCAATATACATGTCTGTGTCTGTGTCTGTATATTTGTCTATCTGTATCTATGTCTGTGTCATTATACCTGTCAGTGTCTGTATATGTGTCTATCTGTATCTATGTCTCTGTTATTATACCTGTCAGTGTCTGTATATGTGTCCATCTGTATCTATGTCTGTGTCATTATACATGTCTGTGTCTGTATATGTGTCCATCTGTATCTATGTCTGTGTCATTATACATGTCTGTGTCTGTGTCTGTATATGTGTCTATCTGTATGTATGTCTGTGTCATTATACGTGTCTGTTTCTGTGTCTGTATATGTGTCTATCTGTATGTATGTCTGTGTCATTATACGTGTCTGTTTCTGTGTCTGTATATGTGTCCATCTGTATCTATGTCTGTGTCATTATACATGTCTGTGTCTGTGTCTGTATATGTGTCTATCTGTATGTATGTCTGTGTCATTATACGTGTCTGTTTCTGTGTCTGTATATGTGTCTATCTGTATCTATGTCTGTGTCATTATACATGTCTGTGTCTGTATATGTGTCCATCTGTATCTATGTCTGTGTCGTTATACATGTCTGTGTCTATGTCTGTATATGTGTCTATCTGTATCTATGCCTGTGTCATTATACATGTCTGTGTCTGTATATGTGTCCATCTGTATCTATGTCTGTGTCATTATACATGTTTGTGTCCGTGTCTGTATATTTGTCTATCTGTATCTATGCCTGTGTCATTATACATGTCTGTGTCCGTGTCTCTATATGTGTCCATCTGTATCTATGTCTGTGTCATTATACATGTCTGTGTCTGTATATGTGTCCATCTGTATCTATGTCTGTCATTATACATGTCTGTGTCTGTGTCAGTATATGTGTCTATCTGTATCTATGTCTGTGTCATTATACATGTCTGTGTCTGTATATGTGTCCATCTGTATCTATGTCTGTGTCATTATACATGTCTTCGCCTGTATATATGTCTATCTGTATGTCTGTGTACGTGTGAATGCATGTATTGATATATACTGATAGAAATAAATAAAAGAACACGGGAAAATTCAAGCGTTCCTTTAATGGTTTCCAGTTTTCATCACTACAGCGATATTCAAAGCTGGTGATGAAAACTGGAAAATATTAAAGGATTACTTGAATTTTCCTGTGTTCCTTTATTTGTTCCTCTCAGTAAATATGTGTCTATCTGTATGTATGTGTATGTATATGTCTGTATATGTGTCTATCTGTGTCTATGTCCATGTCATTGTCGATGTCTTTGTCTGTGCTTGTGTGCCAGTCTATGTCGGTTCCTGTACCGATGCCTTTTTGCATGGGTCTGTCTGCACGAAGCGCTCATAAATGACCTTTCCCTTTCCTGTTGATTGCAGATTCAAAACGTTCAGGTCTGGCTGAAGCCTTTGGTCAAACCCGGAAGTTATGCAGTTGCGTTCTTCAACCCAAACTCTGATGAAACACCAACCCGCATGTCCTTGACCCTGGCGGATATCACACTGACCAATCAGAACGGCTATAACGTTACTGACGTGTTTGATGACGTCAGTATGGGAATGTTCAAGCCGAGTGGTCAGTTCAATGTGACTGTCAACCCAACGGGAATTGTGCTGGTCAAGGCGGTTCCTCTTTGAATTTGTCTTCATTCTACTTTTAATAAATATATATTTTATTTGAAAGTTTTGTTAATTGTAAAGCAGTGTACAGGACGCCAACTATCACTATGATGTTTAGTGTAGAGACGGTTCTTTGCCAACCTTCTGCGAGCGAACGCTTTAACCACTAGGCTACCCTACCACCCCTGTTTATGAGCAAGTCCTGCAAATCCCTTACTGTGACACCTCTGGAGCAGTTGAAGCAACGTTGTTTTAGAAAGAACGGTTGTATCGATAGAGGCTACCAGGGTAAGCGACGACGTGAGGGTCACTCTTGGGCAGCATATGGGCTATACTGACTGGTCAGTTTCGACCCATCGAGTCCCTTGCTTGCCTCTCTTCTGGTTGTCCGCGATCTTCTCGCTGTCTGCCGGCCCTGCCCTATTTCCCTGTCATGCTTGCCTTTAAAGGCAGATGAACGACTTTCTGCATTTATCATGGACATACTCTATGAAGGTCGGCAGTTATCATGGACATAATCCACGAAGGTCGGCAATTTTCATAGACATAATCTACGAAGCTCGGCAGCTCTCATGGACATACTCTGCTTAGCTGATCATATTTTAAAGAGTTTGTTATATACTACAAACACAAAATATGGGAACACCCTAAAATATGATAATCATATATAAACTGAAACGTGGTGAAGTCATTTACACTCTAAGGTAAATGCAACTTTTTGTGTGCTTAATAGGCACTTTAAACGACATGTTGGAACATACAGTGAAGCAACTGATTCAATATTCGTTGAGTTTGAGTGAAATGAAACATTGTTAAAAACAGCGAAAAACAAGGTGCTGAAACACACCAGCACCATGTTTGATTCAAACACCCAAACACAACAGCCTAGTGCATGTGGAAGACAGACTTCCCATGCATTAGTTGCATTTACCTTAGAGTATAAACGACCTCACCACGTTTCAGTTTATATACGACTGTCAGATTTTAGGGTGTTCCCATATTTTTGTTTGTAATATGTGTCTGACAAGTGTGAACGACAATAGTGTCACAATATTGTTTGTAGTATGTGTCTGACAAGTGTGAACGACAATAGTGTCACAATATTGTTTACTCGGTAAACTGGAGCAGACATTTGTGAGTTTCATTTTTTGCAAATTGTCCTCAGCCTCAGCGGATAGAGATGCAGGTATACGTGTATGAAAAAAGGAACAGAAAGCTACTTAAGATACACTATCACCTTGATATTTAACCCTGACCTTGACATTTAACCATGACGTTATCAATACTCCGCCATGATGAAACGCACGCATCAGCTGGTTATAAATCAAGGTCGTCTGTAGTTCATGGTTCAATATCTTTCTTAGTATGCGGGTGAATGTCTCGTAGATAAGTCCTTCTACATGTCAGTCAAATCCTATACATTTGCATTCTTGGCCTTTATATATCTGTATGTATCAGTTTGATCAACTGATGAAATCTTGCATTAACTGGACACTGCATACATGAGCATTTGTCTTCTTCAGTACTTGTGTTCCATGCTGTTGGTTGTTTATTGTTAGAGCTGCACTCAGCAATATTACGGCTATATGGCGGCGGTGTGGAAATAATTGAGTCTAGCATAAACAATCCAGTGATCAACATCATGAGCATCATTCGACGCAAATTGGATACGATGACACACTCGCTGTCGTCGCCATTCGAAATTTTACCAGCGCTTCTATAAGTTGCTGCCACTAAAGCAGACTTACTGACTGACTGACTGAGTTTGGTTTTATGCCGCTTTTAGCAATATTCCAGCAACATCACGGCGGGGGACACCAGAAATGGGCTTCACACATTGTGCCCATGTGGGGATTCGAACCCGGGTCTTCGGCGTGACGAGCCAACGCTTTAACCATTAGGCTACCCCACCGCCCCTAAAACAGACTTAAGAACTGCGACATAAGAACGTCATAAAGCCAGACAAGCTAAAAACGTCGGTCGTTTGTCTGGTTGTTTACAGGCCACAGTCACGTGGCAGGTGTACGTGCTTCGTCGGGCTGTAGATACTCACACCTGTTGTTAATTTTGAGAGGGGCGGTGAGGTAGCCCATCAGTTAAAGTGTTCGATCGTCAAGGTCCGGGTTCAGTTTCCCACATGGGTACAATATGTGAAGCCCAGTTCTGGTGTCCCCCCGCCGTGATATTGCTGGAATATTGCTAAAAGCGGCGTAAGACCTAACTCACACTCACTCACTCACTCACTCACTGTTAATTCACTGTGCTTACGCTTTCCTGACAATGATGGATGGGCAGTATGAGGTTAGGCAGGCGCTGACAAGGACTTGCGGGCGGTATGAAGAGCCCTTCAACCATTGTGATCTAAAGATGATGATCAGCAACATGACAACGCTGCTGTAGCCATATGACTATGGAAAGCATGTGGTCGCCGTGTATTTAAAAAAAAGTTACAAAGTAGGATATTGACGAAGAGTTTATCAAATAGAAGCGACTAAACCCTGTCCACATCCATAAGAAATATCTGCTAAGAACAGGGTCGGTCGTCCATCTCCGACAATATCATGAGTATGTGGGATCAGGCTAAAACGGCCCCATGACAAAACGGTCCCAATTTTGCTTTGCTAAAACGGCCCCAAATTGGCTAAAACGGCCCCTGTATGTATGTTATGCAGCTCTCCGTATCAAACCCGCGAATTCCAGTTCTGCATAATTATTGTTTATCAACTTTATCACACACAGCAACTGTCACACAGATGATATATTCACAAGAACATAGTACTGGGACTGTTGTATTGTCACGCGCATTATCTTACCTGATACGTTTATCTGTTGCCACAGCTTATAAAGGGCAGTGGTCGTTGGTGAGCTGCTGAGCCTTTCTTACGACTGGTGAAGATGGCAGGTGTTGGTCTACTGATATTGTTGAGTGTCCTTGGGGTGTCCAGGGCTTTGAACAACGGCCTCGCCCTGACCCCGCCCATGGGTTTCCTTGACTGGGAGAGGTTCCGGTGTAACACGGACTGTGTCAATGACCCCGATAACTGCATCAGGTACGTGTTGTAACTGGGGTAGTGTCCTTGTGGTCACTGAAAGAATCTTTAAAGAATATAGCTTTTTGTGGTCACCATCTTTAAAAACACTATATCACACCAGACCTCTTTAGAACTAGATAATGCATTTCTCTCAATACCACTAACTATCAACTCTCAGGGAAGCTACCATAGAAGTTATTCCCCCAAAAATTACGCATTTAGATCACAATATTAAATTAAAATGTTCGAATGACTTAATGCAACGTTGAATTAAATCGACTCTCGCTCCCTCTACCGGCCAAACGTTATATCAAGCGAACCCCATAGAGTTATGTCCCTTGGAGCGCTCTTTACGAATATCCTACGCACAACTAGTGATTGAAACCAGTTCGAGAAACACCGACAACACCGCGTGCGACAGTTTTCGATGTACGAAGCAATTGCTTACATTCCATATATGGCAAGTGTTCTCTGTTTGGAAGCTGTTCGCGTCGAAGTTTCAATTATCGATTTCAGGCAAGGCGTTAGGCATAGTACGTCTTCATTGCATCAATAGGAAGCTGAAGTGAGTGTATATGCTCCAATACAGCCCAAACTATTGTCGAAAATGTGTGACATTGTACCTATAAAAGAATTGATCATCATTCTTTTTACCTAAAGCTGAATGAAATGTGTAAGTAATTATTCGTTGAACTACACATACAGTTTCAGGTTCTCTCTTTATGAAAAGAAGATTAAATATATTTCTGATGCTTTGAAACCTAAACACAACTTAACAGATGCTGACGTTCTGGAAATGTGTCGTTAATGAAAAACGTTCTGGTCCATCTACGACTGGCGATTTGAAGCGATTAGATTCGCTAGATCATCATTCATGAAGAATGGTGGTCAGTCAGCATTTGATGTCTATGACAATATACCTCCCAAAGGTACCTACAAAGAAAGAATAATTTCTAGTTGTAGAAATGTAGAGAGGAATGTCAGTCCTGTTCAACCGAATACCTTCATGTTCGCCATAAAGGATTCTTTACTACTCACTGTTTGTAACTCCCATATCCAAATCCAAGTTAAAACAACAAATAGTTCAATTTGGAAACCCAAATTTTGCCTGAATAAGTTGTTTGTAAAAGCATGTTATAACAGGCCTTTGGATACCTTACATTCGGCAAATATAATGATCTAATCAAGATGTAATGGAACAATTAAATGCAAAATAGACAAAGGGTATCTGCCATATTCACATATTGACATTGAGGCGTCGTGATCCATCATGACCTTTTATCAGACCCTAAAGATGACCTATCAATGACTATCAGATACCAAACTGGATTACATATTTGGTTTATCTTCATCGCTGTTCAAGGGCACAAGCAGTGGTTTGTCTTGACCTTCAGCCCCTGATCCCAGCCTATCACAGATGGTGGTCACAGCTCTTAACCTGAATTCACACGTTGCACTCTTTAGAGCATGTGGTCAGTGATCGATGATTCCACCGTAGTGGACAGCCATGATTGTACTTTTCGGCACCCAAACACGGCTTATCGCTCTTGCAACAACCCTGATTGTAGGCTCCACCAGTCAGCCATGATAGTTGTAGGCTCCATCTAACAACCTTTATTGTAGACTCGGGTACTTAACCATGCTTGTTGGCTCAATCAGACAGCCTTGACTGTAAGCTCCTGCAGACAACTATTGTAGGCTGCATCAAACAACCATGATTGCAGGGCTCAGCACAGAATCATGACTGTAGGTTCAAGCAAACAACCATGATTGTAGGGCTCAGCACAGAATCATGACTGTAGGTTCAAGCAAACAACCATGATTGTAGGGCTCAGCACAGAATCATGACTGTAGGTTCAAGCAAACAACCATGATTGCAGGGCTCAGCACAGAATCATGACTGTAGGTTCAAGCAAACAACCATGATTGTAGGGCTCAGCACAGAATCATGACTGTAGGTTCAAGCAAACAACCATGATTGTAGGGCTCAGCACAGAATCATGACTGTAGGTTCAAGCAAACAACCATGATTGTAGGGCTCAGCACAGAATCATGACTGTAGGTTCAAGCAAACAACCATGATTGTAGGGCTCAGCACAGAATCATGACTGTAGGTTCAAGCAAACAACCATGATTGTAGGCTCAGCACAGAATCATGACTGTAGGTTCAAGCAAACAACCATGATTGTAGGGCTCAGCACAGAATCATGACTGTAGGTTCAAGCAAACAACCATGATTGTAGGGCTCAGCACAGAATCATGACTGTAGGTTCAAGCAAACAACCATGATTGTAGGGCTCAGCACAGAATCATGACTGTAGGTCGCTGCAAACAATCATGATTGTAGGCTTCATTCAACAACACTTGTTGCAGGCTCATTCAAACAACCTTTATTGTGTAAAGTCCATTTCAGGTCTCCCCCACCGTGATATTCCTGGGATATTGCTAAAAAGGCGTAAAACCCAACTCACTCAGTCACTATAAGCTAAGTGGTATTGAAAGTTGAGCCTTGAGTCTGTTAGGTAAAACATGTGTGAGAAAATGTGGGGTATATGTGAGGTGTGGCCTGCGGGTTGGGGGATGGGTGGGAAGCTGGGATTTGGGCAGAAAGTATGGGGGTGAGAAAGTATGTTCGCCTATTAATACGTGATCTATAATTTTTAACTTATCACAATAAACAATAACTTTCAGTGAGAGGTTGTTCATGAAGATGGCAGACATTATAGCGGAGGAGGGCTACCGTGAGCTCGGCTACGAATACATCGGCATCGACGACTGCTGGCCCTCCAAATCTCGGGACGCTGACGGCAACCTCGTGGCAGACCCAGAGAGGTTCCCAAACGGAATCCTCGGTCTCTCTCGTTATGTAAGAAATAATTCATGTTAACTCTCTCCTGCTGCCTCGAATGCTTTGCTCGCAAGATTATACTTGAATGTTCCACCTTTTCTTATCACATACAACAATCATGTCCTTAGGTAACCGGGTCATTGCCGTGGCACGTCGACCTATGCACGGCTCGCACGTGACATATCATATAAAGATGGGTATCAGTGTCGGGTGCCCGTGTCGGGTGCGCGTGTCTGCAGCTAATAGGGCTTCGGTCCTGCCCAGCTGAGACGTACGATGTACATATGCTACACATATTCCTTAGGCAAGTGACTGTTTGAAATATGCCCCCGTTCACCAAGCAGCCAGTGGGTACCCGGTAGGACGAGATCATTTAGTGACTGTTAATTATTTAGCCCTGACATTTTGCGTCGTAATCTCAACATTCGCATTAAACAAATATTTCAAACTGGACGTACACGATATTTATCTGATAATTGATCAGATGAAATAGTTTAACAAATGGTAAAACCTTTTTGTCTGGAAACTATGACGCAGATAATGGACTGTGAACAGTACTTAACGTCGCATCAGCAATTTTCTAAGTATTACAACACTGTCACGGAATTGTAAATAGCATAAAAGTTGCACAGCTGTTGATGATGATAAAATACTCTTCACAGGTACATGCACGCGGGCTAAAACTGGGTATCTATGAAGACGTCGGTACCAAGACGTGCGCAGGGTACCCTGGGAGCCAGGACTACACGAAGCAGGACGCCGAGACGTTTGCAAGATGGGAACTAGACTTGCTCAAGTTTGATGGCTGTAACACTAACACAAACGAATCGGCAATACGTAAGATATGTCAAATACCTGTGGAATGAATATTAATTCTCACTGAATCCTATCTACCTATGCATCTAAAAAACGTGAAGAACCCCCGGTAATATTTACAAAGTTGTATATGTTTCGGCTTACATCAGTGGTGTGCACGCACAGTCCGTTGGTAAAGCTGCATGTGCTTTGTAAGATCATGTCTTGATCACAAGTAAAAACAAAAAGACAGTTTTCTTCATCGGTTCAATAATGGATAGGACACAATACACAAATCATCTGATTTGGTTAAAAATATTACTTGTTACAAGCCCGTGCCTAGTAAAATCCAGTAGGGCCAGTCTCCGACTTGTTAAGTAACGCACGATTATGGCCTGATAAAAATGTTCATCATATTAATGATGAAACCCGTGTCTACATTCAGATTTCGGACTAATGAATTGTTTTGTGGGCTAGTAACTTTCATGCATAGCTAGCCGCTTTGGCTAGCAAAATTTGGAAACTATTTCGCACTCTGGTTACAAGTAGTGAGCTAGGGTTAGAATCAGGCAACGTCGCGTGTATGAGATGAACGTTGTACAATCACTATCTAGTGTACCCTCCACGTGTTTAAGTAACTGTCTGTACCATACGTCGCATACCCCCGTCAGTCGTCTCATCGGTTGCAGAGGAATCTGTCGCCATCCTTGGTGCAAAGCTGCTTCTAACGCAGAATTTGAACAGGCGGTACACGTGATTGTGTTCGTCGCCCGTCCTAAATGAGTGAGTGAGTAAGTTAAGTTTAGTTTGACGCCGCACACAGCAATATTCTAGTTATATGGCAGCGGCCTGTAAATAATCGGGATTGGATCAGACAATCCAGTGATCAGCAGCATGAGCTTTGATTTACTCAAATGGGATAAGATGACATGTGTCAACCAAGTCAGCAAGTCTGACCACCCGATCTCGCTAGTCGCCTCTTACAACAAGCATGGGTTACTGAAGATCAATTGTAAACCAAAAGTCACCGTGTTCTTTAATCTGATTGGTATCGATTACCGAAATTGCAGACAGTTCATTGCGTATTGACACGTACAAATATCGCACACAATTGTATTGCTGACCTCACAAATGAGCAGTTCCAGACGCTACCATGGGAACCATCTAAAACGGCCAGCTGATGAAACTTCACTGCTGTACCCGTACTCGATGTCAATGAGTGCAGACAGTAAAACCAATGTGGGCCTTTAGGTTTACTTTTGTGTCTACAATGTCGATAAACATCATGTTTAAAAAGAGAGTGAGAGAGTTAAACAGACCTAACGCCGTCGGTTCCAAAGCAATTCCCGTGCTTCAAATACTCAATAACACCGGAAATTGGCCAACATGATGTTGTTTTCCTAATTCAAACCCGGATCTTCACGGGTCGTCCCAAATGAGCTCCAAAGGGTTGAGGTCTGGACTCATGGCGGGCAGGTGAGTCACTGCATTAATCTGAATGAAAGCCGTCACTGAACGAGAACTGTCACCTATAAATACGGGTCTTGTAGACAGAGGATGAATTTCAAGATGGTACAACAACTGGATGCAGGACTCCCTGCATAGACTGATCACCCGTCGAATTCCGAAGTATTGTCACCAAGTCAAGTCTACAATCATCAAATAAACACCCCCACATCATAACGGAACCCCCCAAAAGGCAACAGTTGGTTGAATGTTGTTTTGCTGCAAATGCTATATTTCATTGCCTCCATACTCTCAAGCGTCCATCGGTTACATGAATTGGGAATCGGCTTTCGTCAGACCAATGTCTCAAGTCCTCATACTGGAGCCTTCTCGTGGGTCTGACGTCAGATCTGTCGTCACGATCTGACATCACCCTTAGTTGACCAGAATGTGGGCGATCCTTCACCTCTTTGGTTTCTGAACTGAATAGTGACTGAACATTCTAACCCATGCAGGATTCGTGTTGAACAAACTACACTCGTGAGACCCGTGAAGATCCGGGGTAGAAAATAGGTCTGCAGCAACCCATGCTTGCCACAAAAGGCGACTTTGCTTGCCGTAAGAGGCAATTAACGGGATTGGGTGGTCAGGCTCGCTGACTTGGTTGACACATGTCATCGGTTCCCAATTGCGCAGATCGATGCTCATGCTGTTGATCACTGGATTGTCTGTTTACAGACCGCTGCCATATAGCTGGAATATTGCTGAGTGTGGCGTAAAACTAAACTCACTCACTCACTCACACTCGTGAAATTCGCTTCTGGACATGCTCCCACAGGGTGTTTAGGAGACTTTTCCATCAAGTACACTTGCAAAAATTCTTAAATAAACATTATTATCATTATACACAAGCTGAACTTGAACATGCGTCTGTTAGCGGTTTACATACTTGCGGGTGCTTAACTTTATTCCACTTTTTCCAGGTGTATATTATAGATATACTCTTCAGGTCACGCGTTGTCACGTGAGATTCTAAAATACCCTTTCCTTACTTACTGTGTCAATCCGTGTGGTTCAAGGGTGAGTGAGTGGTTCGGGGTTTAATACCGCTTTGAATAATATACCCATTATAGCACGGCTGGTCTGGAGGACAACTCGAACTGATCAACGATGTGATCAACATGCATTGTGACGTAGTATGGAATGACGTCACAGAATATCATCGTGTAGATGATGTTGACTCCGTTTTAGATGAAACCTTCATCACAGTTAAACACTGATAAATGAAGTCGTATGTAAATCATCTTATTGATTTAACCAATTTGTAACCCACCCCATGCACTTGATCTTTACCATGCCCATTTACTACTGCCTGTGTTTGTTTTCTTTGCCATTTCCGAGTGAAAGTCTAATTGCCTGTTTCAGATTTCCCCTTAATGAGTCAAAGTCTGAACGCGACTGGCAGACCTATCCTCTTTACATGTGAATGGTGGGATGGAGACCAGACCCAGGTAGTTAAATCTGAAATTTCCACCACCGGTTTTCAAACCGCAAAACAATCTATGTTTTAAGCAGTATAACTGACTTCCGTATTACTGCGCCTTTTCCAACGGAACTGCATCTCTCTCTGTCATTGTCGTCAGACATATTGAAAAACACCCTGATCGGTTACAAAATAAAGGTGAGGCTATTAAATGCATGTGTGATAAAGTATTTAATTTGGACGAAGGAATATTGTCAATGACTCTACCCGTGTTTACAACTTTCACGAAAGTTGTAAACGCCTACGTCACTTCCGGCTATCCCTACATATCGTGCTCAAATGCAACCCTACCATATTGCCACGATTTATTTTTCTCATGGTAATCTGTACACATTTGGCGGCCAAATGATACGCATAGTTCAAATGTTTGAAACATAGACCTCGGATAACATTTAGGGGTACGTTCTTTTCTTAGCATGAATAAATCTGGGAAATACGGTTGCTTCGTGCGGTGTATATTACCAAGTTTGACCACATCAGTGACACTGAGTCTCCATCAGTAAAGCCACATTTGTTTTCAGATTAGGAAAGAAACTACTGTCAAACTGCTGAATTATATTTTGAAAATATGCTTGATTATGCTTATTCTTCTAATGCTTTTTGCGCCTGCGTTTTTCCAGCACTCCCACTACACCCGCAACAGCGAATACTGCAACACCTGGAGGATCTTCAACGACTTGGAGGACACCTGGACCTCAATCCTGAGCATCATCCAACACTACGCCCAGAACGAAGGGGACTTCATCTCCGTATCAGGCCCAGGGTCCCTCAACGATCCAGATGAGGTAATTGAGAAGAATAAGCATTAATTGACATGGTAATACATCTTATCACTGTCATTCCTGACATATCGTCCATGTCGTTGTCTCTAACCTTCACCAAAACGTGAGGTTCCGGGTTAGAATTGATCTTCACTAACCCATGCTTGTCGTAAAAGGCAACTAACGTGATCGGGTGGTCAGACTCGCTGACCTGGTTGACACAGACCATCGTATCCCAATTGCGTAGATCAATGCCCATGCTGTTGATCACTAGATTGTCTGGTCCAAAATCGATTATTTACAGACCGCCGCCATATAGCTGGAATAGTATACTAAAATTAAACTCACTCACTGTTACAGCGAGAGATATAATGTGCAAACAGGGATTAAAATAATCTGTATAATAGCTGGAATAGTGCGGCGTAGAACTAAACTCACTGACTCAAACCTTCATTACATCCAGTTATTTTTACCTTTTCTTTCTCCTTTGCATAATCTCATTCCTTCCAGTTTCTTGCACAATGTCCTTTCCTCTGTTTCATCCTGTTTAACTCTCTTTTCTTTACGTCAATATTCATTCTTCGTCCTCTCCCATAGGTTTAGCTCTGTTCATATCTCTTCTCTTCTTGCTCTCTTCCCATACTGGCCTTCCATTTTTCACTCACCTGCCCCTTTAACACTACAGCTGTTGAGAAAGTTGATGCAGCTTCTTTAATGAAACATTTTAAGATGGAGTGCATGTAGTTGAACATCAATATCTGATTGCGCAAAAAATGATTTAAAAAGCACATCAGGAGTCGATTTCAATTGCTCTGGACTAGCGCATCGCAAATGGCCATATGTTGACTGACGACCGATCGTGTTACAGCTGGTCATCGGCGACTTTGGTCTGAGTTATGACCAGGAGAGGGTTCAGTTCGGGATGTGGGCGATGTTTGCCGCCCCACTCTACATCTCTGCTGATCTGAGGACCATCAGACCACAGGCCAAGGCCATTCTACAAAACAGGAACGTCATTGCCATCAGCCAAGACCCACTTGTAAAGGGAGCTAAAATGATAAAAGAGGTGAGTTATTCAAGGCCTAGTGAATAGTTTTTCTACCCACATCACAGATCTCATCAATCCTCGTACACTTGACCTATGTCACACATACCACTGGAGGACGGATGGGCAGCAATGTCGTGGACATGCTAAGAAATTTATCGTAAACGGTGAACACAGGATCCGACTGAAAATTGTTTGTTCTTGTCAACATAACGAAGACTAGGGACATAGTACTCTCAAAACATAACGAGGTCAATCTATGAACACAAAGGTACCCAATACCGGTCTAGCCTCACCCCGTCCCGATCAGTCCTTACCTCGTCTTGTCGTAAGGGGGGCGTCAGTTCAGACCTCGCACTGTATGTAGCCCCAGTTGTCTGGCCGGACCTCGCCCTAGGCCTGTAGTCCCACTCTCGTCTTCCCGGACCTCGCCCTGTGACCCCAGCCTGGTCTTCCAGGACCTCGCCCTGTGGCCCCAGTCTGGTCTGGCTGGACCTCTCCCTGTGGCACCAGTCTGGTCTTCCGGACCTCGCCCTATGGCCCCAGTCTCGTCATGTCAGACCTCGCCCTGTAGCCCCAGTCTGGTCTTCCGGACCTCGCCCTGTGGCCCCAGTCTGGTCTGGCTGGACCTCGCCCTGTGGCCCCAGTCTCGTCATGTCAGACCTCGCTCTGTGGCCCCAGTCTGGTCTTGCTGGACCTCGCCCTGTGGCCCCAATCTGGTCAGGCCGGACCTCGCCCTGTGGCCCCAGTCTCGTCATGTCAGACCTCGCTCTGTGGCCCCAGTCTGGTCTTGCTGGACCTCGTCCTGTAGCCCCAGTCTGGTCTTCCGGACCTCGCCCTGTGGCCCCAGTCTGGTCTGGCTGGACCTCGCCCTGTGGCACCAGTCGCGTCATGTCAGACCTCGCTCTGTGGCCCCAGTCTGGTCTTGCTGGACCTCGTCCTGTAGCCCCAGTCTGGTGTGCCCGGACCTCTGCCTGTGGCCCCAGTCTGGTCAGACCAAGGTCGGGCCCTCGGTTCCATCGTTTTCGCAGAATGACCTCGTCATTAGTAGTTAAGTTTTGGGAGTATAACGTAGGTAGTGCTTGAACAGATTGAAATATACATATACAGTATATAAAATATTTATAACGAACTGACGGATGTAACGAGCTGCATTTGGGTGCCAGGCACCTGCTGTATATTTTAGTTGAAATGCGTGTAACACACTAGGGTTATACTGAACAGAAACATTGGTGGTCCCTCGTTATAAGCGTAGTTTACTGTATAAGGACACGTTAATTTCTCAGCATGTCCATGAGTGATGCATCCTTGTATCATCTTCTTGATATCCCGGGCGGTGGGGTAGCCTAGTGGTTAAAGCGTTCGCTCCTCACGCCGAAGACCCGGGTTCGATTCCCAGCATGGGTACAATGTGTGAAGCCCATTTCTGGTGTCTCCCGCTGTGATATTGCTGGAATATTGCTAAAAGCTCACTCTTGATATCCCGATCTGATTAAATACGAATAGGACTGTAGGAAATGTTTAAAACGTTTACAATTACAACAGCGTAAACGTAATTGGCCGAAACAAGTTGTCCTATATCATTTTTGGAATTGACTGGACATGTTTAGCTTGAGAAGTGTAGCGTGGTCAAGGAAGTTGTGAGATGACGAGGCTTTGTGACGGTGTCGAATATAGAGGACAGGCAACGACAAAATCACTGGCTTCGGTTGATTGATCACAAAGCACTGAACAAGAGAGTAAAACTATGTGGTGCATGGAAAAGATTGATTTTAAAAATAGGCAACAGCGAATCAAATGCAATAGTCACATGATGCAGAATCTGAAGTGAATGCGTTTTCATTAACATTACGCATCTTAGTATACGGACGCACATTTATGATCATTATGACTTCCATGTATTATTCTGTGAATTGTACATATGTACAATGCACACACGTAATATCCAAGTATATTTTCTTTGCATTTTTTGCATTGCAGATTCAAAACGTGCAGGTCTGGCTGAAGCCTTTGGTCAAACCCGGAAGTTATGCAGTAGCTTTCTTCAACCCAAACTCTGCTGGCACGCCAACGCGCATGTCCTTGACCCTGGCCGATATCACACTGACCAATCAGAACGGCTATAACGTTACTGAAGTGTTTGATAACGTCGGTATGGGAATGTTCAAGCCGAGTGGTCAGTTCAATGTGACTGTCAACCCAACAGGAATTGTTCTGGTCAAGGCGGTTCCTCTTTAATATGCATAACAAAAGACCATATTATCTCACTGATGTTTAAAGCATTTTTATATAAGTAATAAATGCTTTGATGAGTTGATACTGTTTTTGTACATTACAAGACCCTATATACATATTACATTTAATGTAGACGATACAATGGTTTCTTTAGACCACAGTACATGCAAACGTTCGATGACGTAGTGTAACACACACACACACACACACACACACACACACACACACACGAAACAGCTGATAAGGAAATAGAAACTTCTTTGCGGAGGCTGCACAGTGCCCATGTTAACAAGGTCCCGTTAACAACCGCCTATTTGGGGACAGATGAACCATTTAACCATCTCTAGGGCTGGAGACGCTGTTGGCCTCACGGAGACTTTGTTTGAACTGCTGACGTGTAACCTCTGATTAGAATAAATGAATATAGTTTTACGTCGCTTTTAGCAATATTCCAGCAATATCAAAGATGGGCTTTACACATTGTACCCATGTGGGGAATCGAACCCGGGTCTTCGGCGTGACGAGCGAACGTTTTAACCACTAGGTACCCCTACTAGGTAGTATTTCTAAATACGTGTAGTAATAATGAAAGTGCAATACCTTGTTAAATAAATGCATTATACATGTAAACAACTGTCACAGCCGTGGACATGCGATTGATACAAATGGACACGGTTCAATGAAAATGTGCTGTGAAACTAATACAGATAACGACAGACATCTTTTATATTCATCGACCTCCTCCGTGGTGTAGTGGGTAGAGCGTCCGCCCGAAGAACGGAAGGTCGCGGGTTCGATCCCCGACCGCGTCATACCAAAAGACGTTAAAATATGGTACTTGTTGGTCCCTGCCTGGCGCTCGGCATTAATGGGTACGACAAGGACTGGTCGGCACGGAGTCAGCATGTGTCTGAGTGGGGTATTCATGCTTCACTGCGGCATGGTATCTCAGTGGGCTAGCACTATAAAACTAGCTTCAGTCTGGGCTAGTACAAGCAGCCGCACATACACATACACAGTATTGTAAAATGTGGTTTTAAGCCAGCAATAAGTCGATGTTTGCTGACGGGTCTCCCATCTGCACTGAGGAAGTAGACAAGACGCTAGTCCGATCGTAGACGGACCCGAATCGCCTTCGTTTTGGTCTAATTTTGTTTCAGCCTTCTATTAATTTCTCATTGTTTTTTACCCCGATGTCAATACACAAAGTGGAATAACTCTAGTACTCTCATCGCTCATTGTCAAAAAAAACCAAACGAGTGCTCGTGATATTTTACGAGCGCTTCCATTTTCTGCCTGAAACAAATCAACACAAATCGCTGTCACGGTGAGTGAATGAGTTAATATTTAACGTCACCTCGGCAATATTTCAGCCAGATAGGGACGAGAAAGGTTTTCCATACACAAAAAATATAAGTTGTTAAATAACTTTGACTAATCTAAGGACTGTAAAATAACTAGCGTATCACAGATGATGTTTAAAACTAGCATGTAAAACTAAAATGATTTTAGTCAGCTGCCACTGAGTATATGTTGTTTGAAAATACATGCACAGACATAAATGTAGTGATCATTGTTGAAGACAGTGGTATTTTACTTCACGTTAAATATTGTCTTAAATACCCTTTTCTTGATTCAACCCCACCAGATTTGTGGAAAATAACATTCACTTCCAACTTGTTTACCTGGTCAGGAATTTATCAATTAATTATTAATTAAACAAACTGACATGTATGAGAACGGACCTCTAGTATATCTATTAACTCTTTGGTATCCGACCTTTGGGGCCAGGACAGGTATGGTCTGGCAGAAAACTTTTCGTGACGGTGTTTGGTCACTTTACTCAAAAACTACAAGTACACTCGTTTTCTAACTTAGCATTATAATTGTTCTACCATTATGAATATTGCAGCTGTTGAAGTTCCTCACCCAGTCAATGAATAATACATCGCTCAAGAATCTGTATTCTTGCTGTTGCATTGAGATATATGCTACAGAAGAATGTTTTTCCTCTTTCGCTAGAAAGGTCATGCCTAAGCTTAAAAGGATGTATGAATACATCTCTGGTGCTATAAAGGTCAATGTACTTTTCTCTGTGATACCAAAGGCTGCCATCCTTTACAAAAAGAATATCGTTCCACATTTGAAGTCCATAAGCAACATTTGCAAATCCTATTTCCACCATGACATCATGCTTTAACATCAAGTTAGCAACACGTGTAAAGTTTTCTTTAAAGGATGCCGGTACGTACATAAAATCACAGCCTTGAATGGTCAAAGTTGTAAAATTGTTAGAGTTGTTCATATAATTGTGAAGAAAAAGGTTTGCAAAGGATCTTGTTGAGTTCACAAGTGACATGTTTCTTACTTCATCAATAACGGCTAATATTTTTGGTTTACCCTCTTTCCACCATATCCATTTGGGTGTCACCTCTTCGTCAGAGACATTCTCACGCCTGCCCCTGTATGTAGCCAGATCTTGTCCCGTGAGAGTGTGTAAATATTCCAAGGATTAATAAGAGTGTCATCTCCAATCTGTAAGAATCCTTTCACATCAACATTGAGCTTCATAGCTTCAATAAGGCATTCATACATGTAGTACCACCCTCTCTTGAAGAGCTCCATGTATATGAAATAATTCTGAGGTTGTGTTCTGAACATGGGATGTAAACTCCTTGATGTTTGGTCCACATAAAATGATGTTGTTGAAATAAGGACGATACATGGCTTCCAGTAATGGGATATTTGCATACAATGATGGTTCGTTGAAGGATATTATAAGTGCTATATCGCTTATAGAAGTATCTGGCCATTTTATGTCAGTTTTTGGACAGATAACTTTCAGGCGTTTGTGAAGTGTGTTTGTCAAAGAAATAGGGGTAACTGGAGTAGAGATAATTCCAAAGGTGCTAGTTTTCTTCAAATCAAAGGTTCTTTCTTGGTGTATTCGTTTGGGAATTAAATATTGATTTGACCGCAGCTGGGCAAGCCATTCATAAACGAAATGTGCTTCACATGAAGTGAGAAGTTCATGTTCTTTCAAAAGTTTCACCAAATCAGACACACACTCCAACACATTTAGGTTGCCTACACAATTCCAGGAATGCAGTAATTCAACCAAACGTTTGAAAGAGAAAGTGTTTAATTTCGTCGATTGTGATTGACCCGGGGGATGGATAGATTCCGACTCTTCCATTCAAATAAGATAAAACACGTTGCATTATGAAATCTCCGTTTTGTACACTCAATAATGGAAGCGCCCAGAACGCTTCATAGTGGAAAGCCATAACATTTGGACTGAGGGAGCCAAATGTGTCTACTGGAAGAAATATTGGAGGATGCTGTTTAAGTGATTCCTGAAGTACCGCGGGGGTGGCTCTGCCCTCCCATATTCAGACGATTAAACACCGACATGACCAATGGCTTTACATCTTCATCAATGTAAAATTCATTCAAAGACGACATTGTTGCGTTTCGTGATGGGTGAAGTATTGCATGGGCATCGAATATGGTTCTATTGCGCATGAGAACTAGTCCTGTTTGCGACATGTCGTGAAACATTCTCTTTGCAAGTTCCAGACCACAAGTATTCAAATGACTTATCACACACACGTGTTTGGCTCCGTTGGAAAAAGCATAAAGGTAAGCTTCTTTCTTGCGGAATAGGTCGTCATCAACAATGTCAGCGGGCAAGTGTGGATCAGTTGAGTTGAGAGAAACGCACCACGGAAATCTGTCGGATGAAGGAAAAAATGTAACATATGGTTTATTTGAGTGAATGAGTTTAGTTTTATATATTCCAGCAATATCACGATGGGGACACCCGAAATGGTCTTCATACATTGTACCCATGTGCGGAACCCGGGTCTTCAGCGTGACGAGCGAACGCTTTGACCACTTGGCTACGCCACCTCCCCTACTTTATTGGTGATCTCAAAACAGTGTTTGACAACTATTCAGATCACATATACCGTGTGTGGCAAGATCGCTGACTTTGTATACTGGCGACTGCGTTTAAAATCCTGAATGAGACTTAATAAAAAATGTACTTAGTCCAGTATCTGTAATGTACTGAGATAGTGCGGTCCCAAATATAACATGCTATATTAGACCACTTCCTAAATAGCATATTTTATTCATAAAGAGACAATGCACGGGGTTTCATGCAGTGGCCAGCACGGTTACAAGAATTCGAATATGAAGAGTGTGTAAATGCTTAACGTCACATCGGATATGAAGAGTGTGTAAATACTTAACATCACATCGGATATGAAGAGTGTGTAAATACTTAACGTCACATCGGAAATGAAGAGTGTGTAAATACTTAACGTCACATCGGATATGAAGAGTGAGTAAATACTTAACATCACATCGGATATGAAGAGTGAGTAAATACTTAACGTCACATCGGATATGAAGAGTGAGTAAATACTTAAAGTCACATCGGATATGGAGGGTGAGTAAATACTTAACGTCACATCGGATATGAAGAGTGTGTAAATACTTAACGCCACATCGGATATGAAGAAGACCGCTTATATCTACAACTGCCAGTTTGGATATGTGCTGTCGGAAAATAGCAACCGTGCTTCACATAAAGTGGTGTAAGTGTTATTCAATGTCGTTATCATGTGTGACCACCATTTGCGTTGATACAGCCGTGGCACTGGCGGCGCAATGAAAACGCCACAAGGTGGAAAACAGCCGGAAAAGGCAGAAAAACAAATTTTGGGGCATCTCAAAAAGTCCCGAATAACATTTGAAACATTTCGGCGGGTATTATGTTACTTCATTTTGTCATTACATCCCTTCATTTCCACAAAGGGTAGAACATGATCTCGAACGAATTTTATCTTGGTAATGTTTTCCATTCAGATTGCAAGAAACTAATATGTGAAGATCTGTCTCCTGTGAGTTCTAGGCCATCCCATCACAGGCCATCGTGTCTTTGCGAGAGTTAAATATTTATAAAAATATTGTTTTTGAGATGACCCCTGACTAGAAATGCTTCACTGTATAATACATTATGACAAGGCCGGACACTTCGGTGCACCCTGCCCGCCTGCTTTGCCGATCGCTA